AATTCTGCCTAAAGAAACGCCAGGTCTGAAAATGGGTATGGAATTTAGAGTTCTGCTGGTCTGAAAACGGGTGTGGAAGATGACATTTTTTTTGGTCTGAAATAGGGTGAAGAATTTGGGGAACCGGGCGGCACACCCCCACCAAGAATTCCCAGGAGTACCCCCCGTTTGTATCTGTTCGGTCATCCTACTGTATAAGAGTGAAGAAACATTTTTGACTAGGGCTTCAGTATTATTTTCCCGAAAATTTAGATGCAATTTAAAGAGTTACGAAAGTAAGAATTCACAATTTTAGGTTTCCTTTTTCGACGAAAAATAGCTCAACCTGGCTGAGTGATATACGAGAAATAATACTCCTGGGCAATTTATTAGATAAGATTCGAAAATTGTACAGCTATAGAAAATTCCAGGCAATTTTACAGATTTCACAGAAAACAGTCGTAGTAACACCACCATGAGTCAGACACAGTTTTATTACAACAGCTCGTAATCACTCCCTTACCGATGCAAAATCTCTTTCTGGCCATCTATTTCATTCTTCCATGTGGTGTAATCGGCTTGTTCCCAGTATGTTGTTGGCTCCTGATGCGTGACAGTGTGGTCCGCTATCTCATAGCCTCTGGAATACGCACTTTCCACCAGGAAGTAATCCGTATAGTTGTGAGAAATAAACAGCGTTCCCACGGCAGGGCAGCCATTGGGATTACTCACGCCGTCAAAAAGCTCGTTATAGAGATCATAGTATTGCTTTTCTAGATCATCGTCGAATGTAACCATGATGATTTGAGGAGTTTCCTCACGAGTCAGCCCCCCAGGAGGTTTACGATCATCGCTGCAGCGACAGTTCGGTGGAAGACACTTTGCAGGATCACAGGGTTCAGCGGGATGAAACTGCGCTCGAACGCAGGAAATGAACAAAATGAATCCCAAACAGGAAAACCAAGGATCCATAATCTTTATAAAAAGCAATGAACTACAGCAGCAACTATAGAAAGCTTATGACTTCTCCAATTGCAAGTTCTCGGAATCTTTATCTTCACTCTGATTGTTACTTCCGGCGCACCGTTCAAAGTCCTGGACCACGCGATTTTTGAGTTTACCGTCTGTGGGATGTGAGCTTGCTCGTGGGAAATAAACTTGGAACCAGTGTGTCAAAAGAAAAATTTCCCACTGATATCCAGGGGCAGTTCCTGTTATAAATACGCGCAAGAACGTAGCCCCAGATTTTTTGCATCAAGTCACGTGAAGATAAAGGGTCACGCATTCCCAACATCCCATGTGTCTTAGTCATGTGATCGAATCCTTCGTGGAATCGTCGAACAGGATGTGCTGTTCTGCTACGTTTTCCTGTGAATTCTGCTCACTTTGATTTGTTTACAGTGGCAAAGGTATGTCAACTCCATACATTTTCGTTTTCTTCAAAAATTCGTTATCTACAGGTTGGAATTGCTTATGGATCATGTCTTTATTAATGAGCTTATCAGTTATGGGGATTTTGTGCCATGCTGTACAACTGGATACAATATCCATGCCCCGTGAAATTGTCATAACTGTTTTTAGTGGTGTCACGTCAGGATTTTATGTATAGTTATCGCAGCTGAAAAAGTCGGTAGTTCTGTGTGGCTTAAGACAGTAGTATTTTACAGAGCATGGGAGTATATTAGCGGAAATGCCGTGTTTACTCAAGTGAAAAAACGGACTTAAAATAGTTTAACTAATTACAAAATATTGCTTTCCCCGCACTTGCTCAGACGAACTATCTTTTGTCTGTTGAAAGACTTTGATCCCTTCTAATATCCCCCATGATTTTTCCTATGCGAACCGCAAATTTTTTGCACAATTGTTATACGGTCTTAAAAGTTTATGTTTTGGCTTGTTTTTTTAGAAAACCCCTTTTCGTTCGATTCTGTCGTTTAGTCATTTCAATAATACTGCCAGGGAGCTATGAGACTCTACAAGATGGTTCTGTATTCGGCGGGTCGCTTGTCAAGACGAGTGTTTATAAAACTAGAGTGATTTTACTTCAACAGTGAAACAGATAGTAACAACTAGTACAAAATTGAGCTACAAATAAGCAAAGGAAGACAATTGAATTAGTCCATTATGGTGCGTAGTATATATTCTACTACATTGTACCTATTTCACGGGTTAAGTAAAATCACTCTATGACGTAAGACATATAAGTGTAAGACAGACCTAAGAAACCTATTTTCAGTGTAAGTTTTTAAGAACAAGTAAGGGATATTTTTAGTGGCGTGGTGGCTAGTTGGCTTGTCAGTTGAGCTTTATAGTGTCTTAATTAATAGGGAGAAAGGTGAATATTTTAGTGGCTCGGTAGCTTAGTGGATCATCAGTCAAGGTTAGAAGGAGATTAAGGTATTGATGTTTTACTGGGTCGGTTCAAGACTCATCAGTGACTGGCGAGCTGCAGAGACACCCCAACGAATATACAGCTTGTATACCAATTGCAAGGGAATTGGCCCTGTATTCTGTAGTTATGCCAAGGCTAGTTCATTATTAGTTTTGCATTAATGAGTCCTTCCATCTGACATCATCAAAATTATTAATTCCCACATTGTAGTAGGTTATTCTGCAAAGCTACTGATCCTCTTGCTGAATGGTTGGAATTTCAAAGCACTATTTGATTAATTTATTTCCAGTCCATTGGCCATGATGTCAGAGTGAGCTTCATCTTTGTAAAAGTTCAATCTTATAGCTCTCTGCTCTGATTAAAAGAGCTTAACATATTCACATTCCAATGCTAACACTCACTTCTGCTCTTTTGCACTGTTTTCCTCATAATTAACAGCAAGCTTAATTTACCCCTCTCTTTAGAAGTGTAGGTTTGGAAAATTGGATGCACATGTATTTTGGATTTTGCCCTTTTATAGTCAGAAACCCTTTTACTAATTCACGGAAAATTCTTTAACCTTTTTTCTCCTGTCCCTTCACTACTATACGTGTTCTAGCCAACAAGTGGGCTTGCCATTGAGTGGCATTCATTTGACAGGCTATATTAGAGTCATGCATACAAACATCAAGTGTCAAAGCCAACTTCGGTGTAGGTGTGACAAGGATTAAGATCCTTCTCTATTGACTGAAGGATTTTCATTTCCAACCCTGAAACTACAGGAAACTGCGAAAGTGAATTTTTTCCACGAGGGAGGAAAAATGGCAGCTGAATGGAGAGCTGAGTATGCTCAGTTGTATGGCAAGCTTGAGTGACATGCATGATCTGGGGTTTCATAGATTACATATATATATATTGAGCATACATTGTCTACGCTTTTATGCTTTGTGTTGAGATAGTACTGGACATGAGCTGATGTGGAGATTAAGGGGTTTTCATTTACTCCTTTTGTCTGACAAATTTCATTGGAATTTTTGTTTTCCAGATCCCCCCAAAAAATTATTTTAAAAAAAAACAGAACTTTGCACTATTATGTCGGCATATATATGGATGAATTCTTTTTTCTCAAGCATTATGGACAGTACCTTAACCAGGGCTTCTGATAGGTCGCGGAAGAAAAAGGCAAATTTCACGGGATTTTTAGGGACAAATTCGCGGAAAAATTGGCCGATTTTGCGGGAATTTGTGGGAGGTTTTAGGGCAAACTTCACCAAAAAGCAATTGGTAAAAAACAGCCAATTTTGTGGTTATTTTCAAGGCAAATTTCGCTAGAAATCGATCGGTTTTGCGCTGATCAGACCAGCATTTTTAACGTTTCTCTAACAGAGGCCATCATTTGCTCTTTCAACAACAATACGTTCCAGAAATGAACCAATGGCAATTAAAGCCTTTAACATCATGGCTAGTGCCCAGTTTTTCGCAACATAATTTACGCCTGGTAGTTTTGGGACATTGTTTGCACGTTTCAGTGACGAAGTTCTAAGATAAATTTGCAAGTTTACGGCAAGTAAATAGCCACTATAGCTGAAATAAGTTTCAAATATGTTGTACAGACAAGTGTTTGATGAGATTTCTACGGAATTTCGTGGTATTTTTCGTGGTTTTGTGAATTTAGGGGGATTTTGCAGATTTACCTGAATTTCACAGCTCTGTGACCATGTGAATATCAGAAGCCATGCTTAACTGAGTGCTCCAATCAGAACTAAATGAGCCTAGTTTTGGTATGGAAACTGTTTCTTACTGTGCTGTAGCTGCTTTATTAGGGTCTAATAGAACAGGGATAAAACAGATATATATATACCGAAATAAGTGACAGTCGTTCTTTCTTAAAATCCAGTTTGCAACAAATTAAATTGGTTCTGATTTTTTTCAAAGAAGTTATCACGCGTTTACATGTATAATATTTTTATTAGTTTTATTGTTTTTAAAGGAAACGAGTTACATTAAATTTTGTATTTTGTAAATACAGTTAGTGAATATTCAGGAACATCCATTCAATTGACATAAAATTTTTATTCTGGAAAAAGTGCATTAATATATTATTGAAAACATTCTGCACAGGGAAGCAGAATTACTTGGCAAAAAATTTGGTGGTTTTAAAAACAATGAAGGAAATGGCACACATTGCTAGCTGGTTACAAATCAACAGCATTTGACCACATATGTATGGTAAAGCAGTTAACATAAAAAGGTCAAGAAAAAACTGGCATCACATGTACCCTACTTGCCTCCAACTTATGACATTAGGTTTTACATAAGTTTAAACATTAATTTTTTGCTGATGCCATTGTTATGTGTGTTTTATTTGTATTTCTTTAGTTGTAAAGATGACTTCTAATCCATCCTCACCAACTGGTTATCTACACACCCTCTGTCGTCAGGGTAATATTGCTGCAATTCAATCCTACCTTAATGGGATAGAGGATAACAGCAAGTTGGAAGAGCGTGTTGGTTTCCTTGGTTACACTCCACTTCATGAGGCAACCAACCTAGGTCAAACCAAAGTTGTCAGGTTGTTACTCCTATATGGTGCAAATGCAAATGCCAAAAGGCCAATGGTTTTTACACACCTCTTCATATTGCAGCATCAATGGACAATGTAGATTGTGTGGTTGAGCTTTTGAACCATAATGCTGATATAACTAGTAAAGATGAGTTTGGAAAGACAGCTTACGAAACAGCCATTATACACAAATGCGAAAAGTCAGCAAGAATTCTTAAAAGTGAAGGTTAGTAAAGTTAATATAATCTTAAATGTTACAAGCCTACAATCAGGGACAAAAGTAGTTGACACACTTGTTTTAAAACGGGTGCTTTTAACAAACATTTAATTCATTTATTATTTCATTCTTTTTAAACGCCGTAAATCCCCTCACCCCCCGAATCAATGTTGTCTGAAGTAAAAAGAAGACTTGAGGGTCCAAAATTCAACATTGATTTTGGGGGGAAGGGGTTGGGGTAGACAGGGGAATTGAAGAGGATAGGTATTTATTATATATGTACTGAGATTTACTGCAAAATGAATATGTCAAATAAAAATGATGCGTTGCAGAGTACACGCAATCTGATTGGTTGTACAATTTTTCTCACTAGTGAAAAATACCGTATGACCAATCACAACCCGCAGACGAAAGTTTTCACTAGTGACAAAAATCGTATCGATTTTCCCGCCTTTCACTGACGGCGTCACTAGGCAAAAAAGGAAAACCATGGCGTCTTCTTCGAGCAATTCAAGGTTTGCAGATATAACTTCAGTAGAGGAATTTATTGAAGGACAAGAAAACGAAAACACCAGGAAGAAAACTGAACAGAATGTTGCTTTGCTTAAGGAGTTTTTGAGGCTAAAAGATGAGTCAAGGCCTGTAGAAGAAATTCCCCCACACGAACTGAGTTCATTCATCAGCGAATTTATCATAACAGTAAGAAAGAAAGAAAACAATGAAGATTACGAACCCACTTCCTTGCGTGCTATGATGGCCAGTTTTGAACGGTATTTAAAGAAGAAGAATTACGGCTACAGCATTATGAGAGACGTCGAGTTTGAAAAAGCACGAACGGCATTAAAATCAAAACAAAGAGATCTCAAGAAGAAAGGCAAAGGCGATAAACCAAACGCTTTCAGTTGGTCTTTGTGTTGATTTCACCGCGCAATTGATAGTTGTTAACATTATCTTGTAATATCTCAGTACATATATAATAAACAAATTACCTCATGGTTGGTTCGCTTGTACGATTTTTATTCACTCGTTGTGAAGAATCGCAAACTCACTCGTTCGCTGCGCTCACTCGTTCGTTTTCGATTCTTCACAACTCGTGAATAAAAATCGTACGCACTCACCAACCATGAAGTAATCTCTATATCCACTATGCAAAAAGGGGCCATTTTATGGAAGTATGTCAACACTTTTGTCCCTCATTATCTGAATGCAAAATAGACCTTTTCAAGGTTAACACCGCCATTTTGCCGGGGGTGCAAAACTACTGGGGCGAGCGCGCGGCCGAGCATGAAATGCAAATGGCAACACGGCTGAATAGACCTTTTCAAGGTTAACACCGCCATTTTGCCGGGGGTGCAAAACTACTGGGGCGAGCGCGCGGCCGAGCATGAAATGCAAATGGCGACACGGCTGAATAATCTGTTAACATGCCAAAACACGCTCGTTGTGCGGTAGGTTTTTGCGATAATGATAAAAGATATCCCGACCTTGCTTTTGTCAGATCACATGTGGAGAATTTAGTATATCACAAGTGGCCAACCGACCCTAAACTTGCCGAAATATGGCGAAAACAAGTGGCGAAGACTCGAAGTGATTCCTTCAATCCTTCCCCTGGTGCTAGTGGGACTTTCGTGTGTTCAAATCATTTCCCATGTGGACGAAGAACTCCTGAAAACCCTAAAACGGATTTTCCGTCTATTTTTATGACTGTTTCGGATTACCTGCAGAAAAAAATCACCCAAGAAAAGGAAAGCGAACAAGTTACAAGAAGCTGGTTCTGCAAGAAGCCTGTTCCCTAGCTCCAAGGAGTCAAAGCAGGATCCTGAGGAGAGTGATAGTGATGATGAACAAATGGAAGCAGATGCAGATTACTCCGTTTCAGTTCCAATGCAATTCGAACAGTTGACAAGAGAAATGGAAGTAAAAGTCTACACAGGTCTGCCATCACCGAAAGCATTCGAGTTCTTGTTCGATTATTTGAGCCCAAAGGCTCGGTTTATGCAATATTGGAGGGTGGAAAACAAACAAGAAAAGAATCGTCTCAACCTCCCTCTCCTTTTGAGTTAGCAACTGGCTATCTCAAAGGAAGACCTGGGCCAGAGAGGAAGCTTCGACTTGAACAGGAGTTTTTACTGACTCTTATGAAACTAAGACTAGCTCTTCTAACTTTTGATTTGGGGTTCAGGTTCCATGTGTCAGCTTCCACTGTCAGTAGTGTTTTTATAACTTGGGTTAAGCTCATGTCCAAGGAACTCTCCGTTTTAATTGTGTGGCCTAGTCGACAACAGATCAAGAAAACCCTCCCATACTGTTTTAAAAAGCTTTATCCCAAAGTAAGATGTGTAATTGACTGTTTTGAGTGCTTCACAGAAACTCCAAGTGGACTTGACCTGGCAGCAACACTATGGGTGAGTACAAGCACCACTACACTTTCAAAGTCCTTGTTGCCATCACCCCAAATGGAGCAATTTCATATGTTTCACCATGTTATGGAGGCAGGGCATCTGATATTTTTATTGTAAGGAATAGTGGGTTTTTAAAAATGATTGAGCCTTACGATGAAGTCATGGCAGACAGAGGTTTTAAAATCCGAGAGGACTTGATGATGCACATGGCAACATTATGCATTCCACCTAGTTGTGCATCATCTATGCAAATGCTACCACGTGATGTCAGAGAGACATCAAACATTGCGAATGTCAGAATTTATGTTGAACAAGCTATTGGACGGCTCAAAGTTTTTCTTATTCTGAAAAATGAACTGCCTATTACCCTGCTTCCCCTGGCTGATGATATTGTTCGTGTCTGCTGTGCATTGTGCAATTTGCTTCCACCACTCTGTGTTTGATATTTTTATTTACAAATATGCCAAGGTGACCGCATATTCAGTTTAGAGACTGGGGCAGGTTCATTTGAGAACTGTTAACATGTCAATGAAATGTGAAACTACTACTACACTGTACATAGATGACATCGTTGTGTATTTCAAGGCATAAGAGCAATACCTTGCATTTTCTATTTCAGATTGAACAGTCCCCACAAAAGCTATCTAATGAACTTGGCTTTCTTTGAATGGAGGTCCTTCCATGAGTGAATGAAATGTTACTTTTTGTACAAAACAATTTTGTTTAAATTATCATGAAATACCGGTATATTTCCAAATCAAGTTGTATTTACATAATGTTAAATTGATTAAGGAATTGAAATTTGCTATTAGAAATGTGCGTAATTAACCGTAGCAACAGGAATGTTCATACAACATTTTCATAACATTTCATAAAAATGCATCAACAAAACAATACTAAACAATAAGTGGCTATAAAAAAAATATATAGAAATGTGTAAATAACTCTGACTTTTCTCCATGTCTAACTTAGTAGAAATGAAAATGCATCCAACATTCTTAAATTGTTTCTACATGTAGAAAAATATTACATGATGCAATTAAAACATTTTGTAGGTTATACATGTACTTCTTGGACTGGTGTATTAAAGTTCTTAACACCTTGTGAATCTATGATTTTGTCGATTTGATGTTTGGGATTAGTTACAGCTGTATGTGACCATGTGGTGAAACTTCTCCTTGTGAACAGTAATTAAAATTCAATGTACAGTACATGTATTAATCTGAAATCCAGTAATTACAAATTAGGTCTGCAGAACTTGTTATGTCCTCATGGTTAGTGCACCAAGCATGGACAGCTTTTTTACAGACTGTGCAAACATGTTCTCCATTCACAGGGATACTCTTAAGACCACAAACTGGGCAGACATGATTTACAGTGTTTGAGTTATCAGTTTGTTCTTCTTCCTCAGGTAAGTTCAAGTCAAGTTCATCATCCCCAGCATCATGTATGTTTGCTGCATCAGCCAGGCAGCTCTGGCAAATCCAAGAGTCGAGTGCATCTGCAGAATTCACACTGAGTTCAGCACATGGCAAATGCCACCAAGTGCTGCAGCGGTCACAGCATACACTGTTTTCGTTTGCAGAATCACGTATTTCATCACTCTCCAAAATAACCTTGTCACACTTGGGGCACTCAAAAATGTCCCTGTATCCTAACAGGCAAGGTAACACAAAAGATTTGTAAAAGAGAGTGATATTGTTCACAACTTTCAGACAAAATTCCAAGTCAAGTTCTACTCGTTCATACAATGGTTGGCCGCCCAGAGTCCAAACAATAAAGAAGCCATGATTGGCACCACAAACCCACATCTGAGCTTGCATTTGGGTGTAATATTTGTGCGGCGTTTCAAGCGGGGCTTTCCATTAAAATCTTCAAGAAATTCCACACGGTCAAATGTCTTTTTTTTCATGAATATTTTCATTTCTCACACTGTAGGGACATTTTGCTTCCAGTGTTGCCAGACCACAACAATGGCAAAAAAAAAACAGGCCGTCCGGGGAACCCGCAAGGAAGGGGTGTCGGGTTTGATGAACAATCCACACTGTCTAAAGCCCTGTAGGCCACCATCATGTTGAGAGGCCACATCTGACATGAATGATTTTATGGCATCCTTTTCATGGGCATTCCCCACTTTATCTGTGGCATATGTGAGACATCATCGCTTTTATTCAACAGGCTTGACACCATTGAACTGTAAATGGGTTTTTGTCATTGTCACTTTTTCTGTTGATGATTGTTTGAGCCTTGGTGTGAAATTTGTGAAAATTTCACGCAGTCACTCTCCCAACTCTTTGTTGATGCCAAGAGTCATTGTTACTCTGGCCACGAGTTTCAGTTTCCACCCTTTTCACTTGGTCACTCGTCATCTGACATTCTTTTAAAAAGAGTGGGGCGGTATATTCAATGGTTTTCCTTTCATTTCTTGGGATGACATGAAGCTAAGGGCTCTCTGAGGGAAGAGGTTCGGGTAGGCCGTCATCTTTAGTGTGCTCGATAGAGTGAAGTAAACAAGCAGATGGGACATTCTCAATTACTCCATTGATAAGAGCTGACACCCTTTCATTGGTCAGCTGCCTATCCTGGGGCTTTCGTGGGTCAAAGTTGTTCTTTAAAGTTAAATTGGCTGCCTGTTCTTTGGGACTGTCCTCCCGAGTCTTTTTGTCTTTCTGAAAGACAAGGTTTTTATTTGAGTTGGAGCTACATCCTTTCTAGTTCCTTTGTTCCATCCTTGTGGAACGCTTGTACATGCAGGAGATATGTAAGCTTTCTTGTGTGCAAAATTTACTTTATATAGCAAAGCTATAACATGATTGCAAACTTCACCAGTACCTGCTGTACATGTACACCAAGAGGTTAAGATTTTGCATTCACTTTTTGTGCCCTCTAAACAAACCCAGACCTTATGCGGGTCATCACGAATTTTTTGTGAAGGGGATACAGAGCCTTTCAAGAACACATGCTTGCTGTTAATTGGGCATTTAGCAAAGAACACTGTGTCTACAAAGCCACTCATCCAATAAGAACAGGCCTTCTGATCCTTGTATTTTCCAATATAGTCGACATCTACGGCTTTAGTCCTCAAAATATAACTGAACAATTTGCCATCATCGACCTCTGGCCATTCCTTTACGTCGTCAATCCAAGCGTCACTCGGTAACATGTTTGGATCACTCTTAATTTCATTTTTAGTCAGCCTCCTTGAATACTCGTCTTTTATCTGCTGATAAATTTGCTCCTGGGAAAACTTCACAGGCACATTGAGTTCGTAGGCTCCAAACGCTCTAGCGATCAGCTCAGACTTTCTGCCCGTTTGCTTGAGTCCCCGTAGCGAAAGAAAATCCTTTAACGAGGAAACAGTCCAACCGAGGAAGTCCTCGTATTCAAGAACTTCCTCTGCTTGTCGAGGCATCACAAATAATTTTGTGGCCGCTCTACCGGAGTGGTAGCGGCAAAAATAGAAAAGGATTTCAAACTAACAGTTTCAGTACACGTGTTTTGATCCTAGATTAAGATATTTCGATATTTCTTCGCAGGTAATTGCAACTCGATGAGTCAGCCATTTGCATTTTATTGTTTGGCCGCGCGCTCGCCCCAGTAGTTTTGCACCCCCGGCAAAATGGCGGTGTTAACCTTGTAAACTTCTATTGTGCTACTGCACACAAGTTGAGCCGTGCATGACGCTGATTTTAACTGAAATTAAAGGAATCAATGACATAATTATGTTGTTGGTGGTAGGGGTGACATTGACTTATTCACGACCGAATTATAGGGCCAATTTGAATTACTTGATGAGGTAATAAAAGGGCTGCAATATCCAGAATTAACGTCGATATGGTTTACAAGCTGAAAACTGACGCTGAAACTCGCGCACATGTACAACTTTTGATGAATTTCAAGGGTATGCGTGCTGAAAATATTTTAAATAAAGTGAATATTTCTCGTTCGTCACTTTATCCGATTGTTAAGGCACAAACAATCACGGGTAGGGTAAGGATTGACACATGTCACACATTGTCACTGGCCGGCCACGGAAATATGGAGCGTTAGTGAGGAGCGGCCGTCGGAGCGTTCAATATCGAAACTACGGAAAAGTGAAGGTAATTCATGGCCAATTCAATAAAAAAAACTAAGGACAGCGTAGCAAACATTGCAAGTGTACACGAAAACAATTACTTTCAATCCCACCTCGTGACACCCTGTGTGACATGATAACGCAATGCAAATAGCGTGACATGAGCGCATATGTCTGTGTATTTGGACTGCATTTCTTAAGCGAAACCCCATGTTTCTGGCTATTGTCGGCAGAGAAAATGAAAAGAGAGCTTTGAAACGTAAACTGGTATTTGACTCTCAAAGAAAACGACAGCTCAAACTGAGGAAAACACTGCTTCCTTCGTGTTACAACGGTTAACCACGTTTCAGCAAACGGAAAGTAACATTAGTCTTTTATGACCTCTTAATGTCGATATGTATTCTTGTGGTTAATCGTTGAAACTCCTTATTTGCACCACATCGCTGGAATTTTTCTCGCCAAGAATATCTATTACGAAGCACTTTCTACATAGCAGAATCTTTTTTTGCCTTTTGTGAGGAATTAACGCATAAAAAAGGAAGATTTTCCAGCGCACGGCCGTCATCGATCACGTGTTATCCCGCTTTCCTTGTCATCAAGTGAACTACTGAGCCAAAGTAATTGCTGTTTTGATGATGATACAAACTGGTGTGTCTACCTTGAAAACCATTTCTTTGGCATTCTGTGATTTACGAGCAGGGAAATGAAATAGTTGCCCATCCAACATCAATAAAAAATCATGTCACTGAATAAATGGCAGGCGGTCATCTAAAATCATTACAACTAAAGTACATTCCTAAGGGAGCATTCATAATTTACCTAGAGGGTGGGCTATGATGATTTTGAGGGGGGGGTCACTCTTTCTCCCTACTATGATTTAGGGGGTGCTGTGGAAAATTTCCAACGAAAATTACATTGAGCATAGGGGGGGGCAACCATAGTTTCCTGAAAAAGAAAAGGAAATGAAAATATGCTGTTGGACGCTCTTATAATTCCTGTCTTTTATTTCATTTCGACAAAATGTTGATACAGAACTAGAGTATGAAACTTGATGCATGACGCCCACTTCTTGTGTAATTTATTGCCAGGAATTCTGCTGCTCTATGTGTTATCGGCGTGTTTGAAATTAGCCTGCGTCACAAACGGAACTTAACCTCTGAGTCTAACCGTGATTAGATCATGTTCATCTGCGACGCAGGCTATGAAATCAGAGCGAGACGAACGCAAGGCAAGAAAGGATATCGTTTTCAGTTTTAGTTATTCGTTCCTGACTGAAAATGTATTGCAGCCACTTTCTAATTAACTGTTTTGTCCTTATCATTTATTTTACACAGAAAGGAAATGTGCCACCAAACAAGGACCCAGTCGCCGCCCTGCAGTACCTATTGGGACCCCCCCTGAACTGAAAGTGTCAGACCAGACTCACCATGATTGATAATCTGTTGTAAGACCTGTCAGAATATATTCTGGACCTGTACAGGTTCTGATTGTACCGTAAGACGGCACATATCTGCTTTTTGCACGTTTTACAGCTGTCTGGTATATAACAGAATGATTTCTTTTTAAGGAGAATTTTTGCCTGAAAATTGTCATACCAACCGAGCCCTAACAAACAGGATGTAAATGTGGTAGACTATATTGTTGTTAAATACTAAAAATAGACATAGCAGGATACAAATAACCCGCTCACACTCTTTGATAGTCGGGACGAGCGAAAAAGAAAGCGAGGCTTGCCCGTTTTTTCTTGCTTTCCGCTTGTTGTAAGCTTGTTGTAGACCGGCAACGGAACTTATCTTTTGAACAATAATTTTAAAGAATTAAAAATATTCACTCATAAACGTACTTAAAAGCACTTATAGCTTTCCAATTTATTTTTGAATTGCAATTTTAAAAATTTTACATACTTTTATTCTTATTCCGGCTTCTGAGTTTTGTTTGTTTGGACTGTGTTTCGAAAGGTACGACTCTCTTAGCCAGGCTAATAGGGAGCTGCTGTTGAACGACGCACGTCAACCAGAAGTGGACATTTTGCACTCTTGGGAACTGGTTTGTAGCCCAAATTTTCGGGCAGAATAGGGCTATTCATACGAGGAAAAATAGGACGCGTCTTACATAAGATGCGTCTTAAATAAGACGCGAAATTTCCGTATAAACGGCCATTTCGTCTAAAATAAGATGCGACTTAACTAAGACGCGTCTTATTTTAGAACAGCCCTTAACACCTGTTCTTAGATAAGACGCGTCTTAGCTCAGACGAGAAAAACTTCGTATAACCGACCTTCGCGTCTTACATAAGGAGCGAACGCATAGTACGCATGCGTTAAATTTTGCAGGAAAAATTATCGCTTACCCCGCTTGGTCCATCGCGGAGGAAAAAGATTTTTTGTTATTATGTAAAGAGAAGGCGATAACAGACCTCCTGGACAAATGCGTGACATCTGCTGGTGTAAGCAGACCCTTTTAACTTTAAACTATCACAATTTATTAATATTTACTAATCAAATTGCTATTTTCGTATTATAAACTTACACTTTAAAACTCAGTTTAAGTAGTATACAGAAGACTTAGATAAGACATGCTCGTATAACTGGTCCAGTTCGCGTCGCGTCTTATTTTTCCCCGTATAAATGGACCTATTGTGTCTTTAAGAGGAGGATGCATAGTAATACAAATTTGGGAGCGTCAAGGGCTGTTAAAAGGGAAAAGGTCTCACTTCCGGTTAACCAACATCGGTTAAAAAAAGACCGTTGTATAAGCTCCCTAACAACGTCGTAAGTCTCAGACAACACTGATACAGCTTTATTCCCAGTTTACATTTCGCAAGGTGTCGGGGAATCTACACAGATAAAAACGAGCACTGTTGTTTTATCGATTTTAAAACACTTAAACACAAGACGCAGCCGATTGTTTTGCGACTTGATAGCGGAGCTCTCGCGTGCGCGAAGCGCGCAGCGGAGTACGATGGGTAAGAAAGTTTGGTGACCTATGCATCCGAGATATTTTGGTAGTCACGTGACCGTACGCCCGCCCGTCTGCCCGACCGAGCGACCGTCCGTCCGCCCCCACAGGCATACCAACGAAAATAACCCAATCAACAAGCAGGTATGGCAACTTAAGTCAATAAAGACGTAAACGGAAAGCGGAAATTGT